TTTTTTGCCCAAAAACTCATAATTTGAGAGAAAAAAATTACTTATAATTTTATCATCTTATAAATTAAATTTATGGTTAAAGTTTTAAAATTAACATTTCAAAATTTTTATTTTTTTTAAATGTATGATACTGATATAAAGATAAGTGAAGTCGAAACGTAATTAAATTCTAAATTAATTAAAAAAATTATTCTATCGAAAATTCACATGCAAAGCCTTTAAGATTTGACTACAAATTAATTCTCACCTGCCAAGCACAATTATATTATATTACATTACATTACATAGCATATATTACAGAAAAAATGTAACCGACACTATATATCGATTTGCATTTTTTTTAACGAATATAAGTTACAATTATTTATTATCTTTTAATAATTGTTCCCCTATCAATACACAACATACTCATGATAAAATAAATCATCATTGACTAGATTATAAATAAAATTAACTCAACATAAAATTAAACTATCAAGACTTGAATTTTCTCTCGCTACAACAGGATTTAAATTTAAAATCTTAAAATTCAACTATTTATTTTACCAATACGACGAGACATCATTCGCCTTAGCTTTTTATAACTGTTTGTATGGTAAACATCTATCGGTCATCAGTATACACTTAGATAAAATTAATGGGTGATATATAGATGAGAAAAAAAAAAAGAGGAAAACATAATTAAAATGAAATAAGTTTATAACATGTAAGCTGTAACCCAATAAAAAGTGTATTTTATCAAAATTATTGAAATTAAAGCCAAAGGAAGAAGACTTTCATACAACTATGCAAGAAAACAACCCATCATCTACTCCAATAATCGTAAGACTTGCCACTATGACTCTAGCATGCACCATCTACCACGTGTACTCTTTGATTGGCCTCCTAAGAAGTTAGAAACTTTTCTTTTTCTTCCTTTTTATATTTTGTGAAGGGTTTAGCTTAGTCCTTAACCTTTAGAATGTCTCACACAATCATCCTAAAACTTTTAAAATTGACAGTTGGATCCTTAGCAATGCCATCCATTTCATCCATCAATATCATTAGCTGTATAGAAAATCATTAATATAATCCAAATATACCATGATCATGAAGACTGTAAAATAGTAAAGTAATTTTTCATTTTACTATGCAAAAGCAACATTTTATAAAATGTAGCAATTCTCCCTTGAAATTTTCCTATCTTGAAAGGCTCATGTGGCCACCTAGCTAGTAGAGTAAGGGAGATCCACATGTTCTTTTAGTGTGTGTAACACAAGGATCTTGTATTCAAGTCTTATCTAGTCCCTTTTTCTCCTAAATGTTCACTCTTAAAAAATGTTTTTGATATCTAACTATATATGGATTCTTAAAGTTAAAATAATAATTTAAGTTGGTAACCATTGGTAGCTCAGCTGACAAACATTGCTTGAGTCTCTAGTTAGTTATCATCAAGTTGATAGTTAAACCCCCCCTCCCCCCACCCCACCCAACTCCCAAGCTAGCCTCCCTTTAATAAAATAACTTATGTTGATGAAGGAAATCTAACTTTCCTTGTAAACTAGACCTTTATATCTTTGTTGACAAATTTTCATTTCTATTACTCTATTTTGTAATTAATTCTCAAATATAGAGGCAAGGTTGTCAACACTGTAATGACATATGTATCGATTTTAGTACTAGTATAGTAAATATTGTATACAAGATAATCTCATGTATTATTTTAAATTTATTGCTATAAATATATATTTTTATAAATTAAATATAAACTTTTATAATAATATTTATAAATATAAACATACATCATAGTATTTATATAGTATTAAAAAAAAGAATAAATTAAAATTAATTTGTCATAACAAGTGGATTTAAATCCACCACGTGCAACCTCACCTCCCATTCATCTTCTAGAAGACCAAATTCCCTCTGATGTTTTAACTTTACAACATTTTCTTCTTCTAACCATTAACAATCTAAAATGCATTACTTTCTTCTCTCTCTTTAAAACTTTCACTTTCTCACTTAATATTTTCGTGAAGCTCTATATTTGTTACTTAAAAGATTCCTACAATTTTTAAAAATTGTTATGGTTAGCCTTTCTTTTGTGCTCTATATTATTAGACTTCAAAGGAAATCCACATTTTTCAAGTTCTCTTTTCATTTTCTTGTCTTATTTGGGTATAACCAAGATTATATTTTAGGTTACATTTTGTATCTAAACTTTTTTCCCCCTTTTTTTTTGTGACTTTTTTCTATTTATATGTACCGACATGTACACCAAATTTCAGTCGATATGATCAATATTTAACCGAGTATAATATTTAAAGTATAATATATCATTTTTATTCTCAAATTGATACATACCAACGATACCAACTCGTAAGGTACAAGATCAATAACCTTGATTGAACGTAAGATCTGTCCCCTTTTATTTATTAATGGAGATAAGGTCCTCGTAACTCAAATTTAAAGCTATCATCTATAATTTTAGTTCTTTCCCTCTAAAGTTGTCATCTAGTTACTTTCTATTAATTGTCCTAGTTTCTAAGATAGAGCATTACATGTTTATTTCTATTTTTCAATTTTTAAGAAATCATTGTTACACAATGTATAATAATTATACTTATTTAGTTAGTGGTTGATTATACATAAATATAAAATTTTATCAATTAATTATTATATCTCTATTTTATTGGAGAGAGATTAAAAAAAAAAAAA